AAATTAAAAAACCGTGAAATTCAATCAAATACAATTTTTATATTATGTAGGGGATTTCTGGGATTCGGAAAAAGTAGAAATAACCCTCAGGCACATTCGAGGATATTTGCTCCAGTTAAGTTAGGTCTGGAAAAGTTACTACGAGGGAAAAACGATAATTTGTTTGAAAATTTGTGGAAAAATATTGATGCTTTGTGCAATTTTTTTGAAATTTGAGGATGATAGAGTTCGGTTGACCCATAAGCACAGTTCAGAAGAGTTTTTACAGTCAAGTTAGGACTGGGAGATTCATTACGGGGGGAAATCAATAATTTGTTGGAAAATTCGTGAAAAATCAATGATACTTTGTTGAGATTTTTTGAAGGTTGAGAATGATAGAGTAGAACCTAAACCAGAGTCCAAAATAGTTTTTGCAATCAAGTTAGGTCTGGGAGATTCGTTACGGGGGAAAGTCGATAATTTATTGGAAAATTCGTGAAAAATTAATGGAACTTTGTAGGGATTTTTTGAAGTTTCAAAATGATAGAGTTGACCCTAAAGCTGAGTCCAGAATAGTTTTTGCATTCAAGTTAGGTCTGGGAGATTCGTTACGGGGGGAAGTCGATAATTTATTGGAAAATTCGTGAAAAATTAATGGTACTTTGTAGGGATTTTTTGAAGGTTGAGAATGATAGAGTAGACCCTAAAGCAGAGTCCAGAATAGTTTTTGCAATCAAGTTAGGTCTGGGAGATTTGTTACGGGGGAAAGTCGATAATTTATTGGAAAATTCGTGAAAAATTAATGGTACTTTGTAGGGATTTTTTGAAGGTTGAGAATGATAGAGTAGAACCTAAACCAGAGTCCAAAATAGTTTTTGCAATCAAGTTAGGTCTGGGAGATTCGTTACGGGGGGAAGTCGATAATTTATTGGAAAATTCGTCAAAAATTAATGGTACTTTGTAGGGATTTTTTGAAGGTTGATAACGATAGAGTAGAACCTAAAGCAGAGTCCAGAATAGTTTTTGCATTCAAGTTAGGTCTGGGAGATTTGTTACGGGGGAAAGTCGATAATTTATTGGAAAATTCGTGAAAAATTAATGGAACTTTGTAGGGATTTTTTGAAGTTACAAAATGATAGAGTTGACCCTTAAGCTGAGTCCAGAATAGTTTTTGCATTCAAGTTAGGTCTGGGAGATTCGTTAAGGGGGGAAGTCGATAATTTATTGGAAAATTCGTGAAAAATTACTTACGACTTTCCCCCGTAACGAATCTCCCAGACCTAACTTGAATGCAAAAACTATTCTGGACTCTGCTTTAGGGTATACTCTATCATTCTCAACCTTCAAAAAATCCCTACAAAGTACCATTAATTTTTCACGAATTTTCCAATAAATTATCGACTTCCCCCCGTAACGAATCTCCCAGACCTAACTTGAATGCAAAACTATTCTGGACTCAGCTTTAGGGTCTACTCTATCATTCTCAACCTTCAAAAAATCCCTACAAAGTATCATTAATTTTTCACGAATTTTCCAATAAATTATCGACTTCCCCCCGTAACGAATCTCCCAGACCTAACTTGAATGCAAAAACTATTCTGGACTCAGCTTTAGGGTCTACTCTATCATTCTCAACCTTCAAAAAATCCCTACAAAGTATCATTAATTTTTCACGAATTTTCCAATAAATTATCGACTTCCCCCCGTAACGAATCTCCCAGACCTAACTTGAATGCAAAAACTATTCTGGACTCAGCTTTAGGGTCTACTCTATCATTCTCAACCTTCAAAAAATCCCTACAAAGTATCATTAATTTTTCACGAATTTTCCAATAAATTATCGACTTCCCCCCGTAACGAATCTCCCAGACCTAACTTGAATGCAAAAACTATTCTGGACTCAGCTTTAGGGTCTACTCTATCATTCTCAACCTTCAAAAAATCCCTACAAAGTACCATTAATTTTTCACGAATTTTCCAATAAATTATCGACTTCCCCCCGTAACGAATCTCCCAGACCTAACTTGAATGCAAAAACTATTCTGGACTCAGCTTTAGGGTCTACTCTATCATTCTCAACCTTCAAAAAATCCCTACAAAGTACCATTAATTTTTCACGAATTTTCCAATAAATTATCGACTTCCCCCCGTAACGAATCTCCCAGACCTAACTTGAATGCAAAAACTATTCTGGACTCAGCTTTAGGGTCAACTCTATCATTTTCAAACTTCAAAAAATCCCTACAAAGTACCATTAATTTTTCACGAATTTTCCAATAAATTATCGACTTCCCCCCGTAACGAATCTCCCAGACCTAACTTGAATGCAAAAACTATTCTGTACTCAGCTTTAGGGTCTACTCTATCATTCTCAACCTTCAAAAAATCCCTACAAAGTACCATTAATTTTTCACGAATTTTCCAATAAATTATCGACTTTCCCCCGTAACAAATCTCCCAGACCTAACTTGAATGCAAAAACTATTCTGGACTATGCTTTAGGGTCTACTCTATCATTCTCAACCTTCAAAAAATCCCTACAAAGTACCATTAATTTTTCACGAATTTTCCAATAAATTATCGACTTTCCCCCGTAACGAATCTCCCAGACCTAACTTGAATGCAAAAACTATTCTGGACTCAGCTTTAGGGTCAACTCTATCATTTTGAAACTTCAAAAAATCCCTACAAAGTACCATTAATTTTTCACGAATTTTCCAATAAATTATCGACTTCCCCCCGTAACGAATCTCCCAGACCTAACTTGATTGCAAAAACTATTTTGGACTCTGGTTTAGGTTCTACTCTATCATTCTCAACCTTCAAAAAATCCCTACAAAGTACCAATAATTTTTCACGAATTTTCCAATAAATTATCGACTTTCCCCCGTAACAAATCTCCCAGACCTAACTTGATTGCAAAAACTATTCTGGACTCTGCTTTAGGGTCTACTCTATCATTCTCAACCTTCAAAAAATCCCTACAAAGTACCATTAATTTTTCACGAATTTTCCAATAAATTATCGACTTCCCCCCGTAACGAATCTCCCAGACCTAACTTGAATGCAAAAACTATTCTGGACTCAGCTTTAGGGTCAACTCTATCATTTTGAAACTTCAAAAAATCCCTACAAAGTTCCATTAATTTTTCACGAATTTTCCAATAAATTATCGACTTTCCCCCGTAACAAATCTCCCAGACCTAACTTGATTGCAAAAACTATTCTGGACTCTGCTTTAGGGTCTACTCTATCATTCTCAACCTTCAAAAAATCCCTACAAAGTACCATTAATTTTTCACGAATTTTCCAATAAATTATCGACTTCCCCCCGTAACGAATCTCCCAGACCTAACTTGAATGCAAAAACTATTCTGTACTCAGCTTTAGGGTCTACTCTATCATTCTCAACCTTCAAAAAATCCCTACAAAGTACCATTAATTTTTCACGAATTTTCCAATAAATTATCGACTTCCCCCCGTAACGAATCTCCCAGACCTAACTTGATTGCAAAAACTATTTTGGACTCTGGTTTAGGTTCTACTCTATCATTCTCAACCTTCAAAAAATCCCTACAAAGTACCATTAATTTTTCACGAATTTTCCAATAAATTATCGACTTTCCCCCGTAACGAATCTCCCAGACCTAATTTGAATGCAAAAACTATTCTGGACTCAGCTTTAGGGTCAACTCTATCATTTTGAAACTTCAAAAAATCCCTACAAAGTACCATTAATTTTTCACGAATTTTCCAATAAATTATCGACTTCCCCCCGTAACGAATCTCCCAGACCTAACTTGATTGCAAAAACTATTTTGGACTCTGGTTTAGGTTCTACTCTATCATTCTCAACCTTCAAAAAATCCCTACAAAGTACCATTAATTTTTCACGAATTTTCCAATAAATTATCGACTTTCCCCCGTAACAAATCTCCCAGACCTAATTTGATTGCAAAAACTATTCTGGACTCTGCTTTAGGGTCTACTCTATCATTCTCAACCTTCAAAAAATCCCTACAAAGTACCATTAATTTTTCACGAATTTTCCAATAAATTATCGACTTCCCCCCGTAACGAATCTCCCAGACCTAACTTGAATGCAAAAACTATTCTGTACTCAGCTTTAGGGTCTACTCTATCATTCTCAACCTTCAAAAAATCCCTACAAAGTACCATTAATTTTTCACGAATTTTCCAATAAATTATCGACTTCCCCCCGTAACGAATCTCCCAGACCTAACTTGATTGCAAAAACTATTTTGGACTCTGGTTTAGGTTCTACTCTATCATTCTCAACCTTCAAAAAATCCCTACAAAGTACCATTAATTTTTCACGAATTTTCCAATAAATTATCGACTTTCCCCCGTAACGAATCTCCCAGACCTAATTTGAATGCAAAAACTATTCTGGACTCAGCTTTAGGGTCAACTCTATCATTTTCAAACTTTGAAAAATCTCTACAAAGTATCATTGATTTTTCACGAATTTTCCAACAAATTATTGATTTCCCCCCGTAATGAATCTCCCAGTCCTAACTTGACTGTAAAAACTCTTCTGAACTGTGCTTATGGGTCAACCGAACTCTATCATCCTCAAATTTCAAAAAAATTGCACAAAGCATCAATATTTTTCCACAAATTTTCAAAGAAATTATCGTTTTTCCCTCGTAGTAACTTTTCCAGACCTAACTTAACTGGAGCAAATATCCTCGAATGTGCCTGAGGGTTATTTCTACTTTTTCCGAATCCCAGAAATCCCCTACATAATATAAAAATTGTATTTGATTGAATTTCACGGTTTTTTAATTTTTCTTTTCAATAATTATCTGGTCGACTGTAATATACACGAATCTGAATATGAATATGAAGCTAACTTCAGCTACGTAAGTTTAAAGTCACTATGATGGTTGGAAATATTTTTCTTAGACTCTCAAGTAATAATTCTTTTCAAAAATCGTTACTCATTTCACTTTCAACTAAAATTCGCATAATCAAAACGAACCAAATTTGAATTTTACCTGAATAAAATATGTCCGATACGCATCTTGATAATCACTGTTTCACTATCAGGTCATAAACATGTCCCTCTTAACAGTCCAAAAAACCAATAATTACATTTTTTGAAGAAAATCCCACAAAACATCATTAAAACATTCCGTAAACAAACAAGGAACAATTTTCAACACGCGCATCATTAAATTACCGATTTGTATCGAAATTTTGTGGGTGGCGCTTCAACTTGCATTGATAAGTTTCTCATTATTATTACAAATATATTTTTTTTTTCAAATAAATAAATCGTGCATTAAACTTATAAGAAACAAATAAGCGCGCCTTTTTTTTTCTCAAGTTCGTATTTCAGTATTAGCGCCACGAAGAGCTGGAGTCGACTAAACCGAACGTTTCTGATAGGCATTGAGTCACGACACGCACTGAGACCCAATCCGGAGTATTTACCATTATAAAGATAAAGCGACAATTTAATTATTTCACTATTTTTTCACGATAAAAAATATTTCGTAAGAAAAAGATTATTGTGTACCTTTTCCCATAAAGATATGCAGGTGGGTACCTACTTTACACAAGCCAAGAGAATACTTTAATCCTCCTACAAATGGGAATTGGATCATGATCATGAAAATAGTCTTAAACAAAATTGGGTTTTTTCGATGATTTTTATTCCCATTCCAATAGATTTTTGAGGTAGGTACTCAAAACAGGGAACGAGGTGACTTATACTAAACTTTCATGGAAATTGTATTAAAACTTTTGATTTTATATTTGTGGTGTGGTGTATTCTTGCCTAGGACTACACCTTCTCCGACAGTATTTTAGAATACCTAGTCATTTGTATTTAAGAAATCTCCATATGAATAATGGAATAAATAATTATATTTTAGAAAGCATCATTTGTATTTTGGAATAACCACTTTAATTTGGAAATGCTTCAAATGTAGTTTAGAAAAACTATTTTAATTTGAGAAAGCATCAAATAAATTTTTGTATAGGTATGTATTTAAGAAAGTTTCAATTGAAGTTTAGAAATATGTATAAGTAGGTATTGCTCTTTATCTAATATCTATATATGCTGATTTCTTTAAAATTTACCTCTCATGCCAAATTTACAACAATAGCTGTTTATCTCTGTCCTACCTACATGTAATCTGAAGTTCGATTTATCGTTTCTTAAATTCAAATGATTGTTTCTAAAATTCATATGGTGTTTCTAAAATACAATCGCTCCAATCTTAAATAGATATTATGACTTTTCTAAAATACATTGGGCATTATCGATGATACAATTCTAATTTCTAAAATACTTTTGAATATTTCGCAAATACATATGACAAATATAAAATACATTTGGATTTTTCTGAAATACAAAATGTTTTTTCTAAAATACAAATAACACTTTCTTGAATGAAAGTGATATTTTCTTCAATACTGCTGTAAAAGGTGTATATAGTTACATTTATTATTGTAGTTTTCTATGTTTGGATGCCATTGTTTGGCCAGGGTTTAAGAGACGTGGTAACTGACAATTTTTGATAGAAATTGATATAACCATTGTCAAGGGGTCTAATTGTGAATTGGAGATTCAATTTAGTGATAGTAAAGTACATAGTTTAAAGTTTAGCTGTTTCATTATTTACAACCCAGGCTGCGAACCTATCATGTTTGTTTCGATTTTCTCATTTAACACATTGTATGCCGCGTCGGGCATAACTGCCAGACAGTGATGTTGCCATTCAGGCTACGTCAGACATACAGGCTGACAATTTGAAAAGTAGCAATCGGGAATATCTCTCAGACGAAAAATACTATCAGGAAGGTCTCAAATACGTATCGGGGGATTGGAGGGGGAACCAAAATAAAGCCTTAGGGGGTAGCTACCCTAACGTATTTTTTTCAAATAAGTACCGCTACCTTGTGTTGTACATACATCGTTGGACAGCTCGTTGCTTCTCCTTCACAGTCTTATAACAAAATCCTAAATTGTACGATTATTAGTTTTCGAGATATCGGTGTTTAAAAGTAAACACATTTTGAAGACTGGTAATATCAGGATTCCAAAAAATGTCCAGTGCCAAAATTTAGATTTCCTTTTTGGATTTTTTTTCTCATCGATATTTTCAAATGTAACTGATGTTAGAGTTGTTTCTGACTAATTTGGACCATTTTCCAAAGTTTCCCAGATTTCCTGGAAAAAAATCAAAAATTAAGCCATAATCTATATTGTAAAAATATCACAGTGTCTCTTTGGGATTAAGAAATCGTAACTCCGCTATCTTTGGTTTTTCATCAATCAAACTTTGGTATATTAAAGCAAAAAGGCTTCTGAATATATAAAAAATTCTTCATTTTCCAAAGCTTCCCAGATTTCCTGGAAAAAAATCAAAAATCAGGCCATAATCTACTATGTTGTGAAAATATCACTTATTGCCTCTCTGGGATTGAAAAATCGTAACTCCGCTATCTTTGGTATTTTTCCAATCAAATTTTGTTATGTTGAAGCAAAAAGGCGCTTCTGGATATATAAAAAAATCCTCATTTAACGAAGTTTGCCAGATTTCCTGGGAAAAATCGTAAATCAGGCCATAGTCTGTATTGTAAAAATATCACTTAGTGACCAGTGACTCTCTGGGATTAAAAAAATCGTAACTACGCTATCTTTGTTTTTTCCAATCAAATTTCAGTATGTTAAGGGCTAAAAGGCTTCTGGATATATAAAAAAATCTTCATTCTCCAAAGTATACTAGATTTCCAGGAAAAAAATCTAAAATCAGGATATAGTCTGTATTGTGAAAATATTACTTAGTGTCTCTCTGGGATTAAAAAATCGTAACTCCGTTATCTTTGGTTTTTTTTTCAATCAAATTTCGATATGTTAAAGCAAAAAGGCTTCTGGATATATAAATAAATTTATCATTTCCTAAAGTTTTCCAGATTTCCTGGGAAAAAATCAAAAATCAGGCCATAATCTATATTGTGAAAATATCACTTAGTGTTTCTCTGGGATTAAAAAATCGTAACTCCGCTATCTTTGGTTTTTTTTGATCAAATTTTGGTATGTTTAAACATAAAGGCTTCTGGATGTATGAAAAAATTCTTCATTTTCCAATGTTTCCCAGATGTCCTGGGAAAAAATCAAAAATCAGGCCATAATCTATATTGTGAAAATATCACTTAAAGTCTCTTTGAGTTTAAAAAATCGTAACTCCGTTATCTTTGGTTTTTCTTCAATCAAATTTTAGTATGATAAAGCTGAAAGGCTTTTGGATGTATAAAAAAATTCTTCATACTTCAAAGAATCCCAGATTTCCCGGAAAAAAATCTAAAATCAGGCCATAGTCTGTATTGTGAAAATATAACTTTGTGTCTCTTTGGAATTAAAAAAATCGTAACTCCGCTATATTTGTTTTTTTCCAATCAAATTTTAGTATGTTAAAGATAAAAGGCTTCTGGATACATAAAAAAATTCGTTGATTGTGATTCGTTCCCTATCAATTCCATCTGAAAGTTTCTTGGGTTTAGGGATAGGAAAGAAAATCAATTAGTCTTTCGGCAACGTTGCGTCTTTAATTAAGACTTTATCGCGAGCCGCGTACGGACTTTGCGAGGCTGCCTCGCGAGGCACGCCTCGCGAGGCTGCCGCAGTGCGAGCGGCCTCACACTACTTTTGAAGTGGTAGTAGAAGCTAAGCACGAGGCAATGCGAGCCGTCATTCATTGACTCGCTCTGAGGCAACAACAATGTCGCTCATAATCAGAAAACACGTACAAACTTGGGAAATGCCGCGCTACGAGGCTTCTTTGAGCACGACCAAAAAACCGACTAAGCATGACTCACCGCGAGGCTGCCTCTCAACGCGGCAGACAGTGAGTCGAGGCAGGTATATATTATACTAATTTTGCGAAGCACGCTTGGGAGGCAGCCTCGCGAGGTTGCCTCGCAAAGTGCGTACGTAGCTAATTTAAGGCGGTTACACACGGACATGGATGTCTTAATACATATACGTGCATACATCAACGTGCAGACAACAACGTGCATGGCGCTTTTGTACAGACGCTCGCACAAAACTGTAGTCTTGCTATTCTTGCTACAGTATTCCGAGTGTGCATACAAAATTGCACATTCAAAAACGCGACGATATTTTGCATACACATTGATGTTTTTGTTTGCACGTTCATGTATGTGCGTACATGTTTTCAGACATCCACGTCCGTGTGTAACCGCCCTTAGACTTGAAGGTTTATCTCAACATCTCAAGGTCTCAGATTTCCGGGAAAAAAATTTAAAATCAGGCCATAATCTGTCTGTATTATAAAAATATCACTAGTCTCTCTGGGATTAAAAAATTCGTAACTCCGCTATCTTTGGTTTTTTCTCAATCAAATTTTAGTATGTTAAAAGCCTTGAGACCTCTGGATATTTTTAAACAATTCTTCATTTTCCAAAGTTTCCTAGATTTCCTGGACAGTGACATACCCAGGGGGGAGGTCATCGGGTCAGGGCTCCCCCAGGCCGCCCCTTCAAAACTGTATATTTTTACGTATAAAAAAAGGTGGCAAATTCAGGGCGTGGCACCCTGACACCTCATTTTTTTTTTTTAGGGATGTAAGCCAATTTTTCTGACAGTGTCATGTCACAGTCAAAATGAAAATGACGGTCACGTCATTTATTTTTATGCCACTCTTGTCATTTATTTTTTAATGCATTAAATTTTCTGACAGTCATAATAACTGACCCTCATTAAAATATATGACCGTCATTGAAATATATGTCAATGTCACCAAATATCAGCTGACTCTCGATATTTACTGTCAATCTTGTGGAGGAGATGGGAGTGTACTTTCAAACTCATTAAATGACTTTGATGCTGATGACTGTGAAACTGAAGAAGAACTATAGTCAACCAATCAGATATCTGATTATTGATTCAAGTTATGTTATGTTCTACACATTGACGGTAAATGACCATAAATAACAATAAATGACAAAAATGACAAAAAAATGACTGTCACTTATCACAAAAAATAGATGACTGTCATTTTACATCCCTACCTCCGCCCCAAACATATTTTCTGGGTGCCCAACTGCAGCCTTTCTAGGCTTTTCCTCATTCACCTGCCTCGCAACCTGGGTCCTTATTCTTGAAACTAGGGAGCAGCGTTTCCAGGAGAACGAGTGTTCCGTCTTTCCCAATGATATGCAAATGATAATATAAGTAACAAAGACGGAACACTCGTTCTCCTGGGAACGTTGCTTCCCTGTTCCAGGAATAAGGACCCAGGTGCTTTCCTGGTTTTCAGGCCTCTGAATTCCCTAGGGAGGAAGGAGAATTTCTGTTATTTCCTGTATACCTTCAGGGCGAATCCCCACGGGCGTAATTAGCGGAATCGGCATGAACGTCAATTCTACGCCAATTTTGGCGTAACATCCCGCATGGGCCGCATGTAGTGCATCAAAATAAAACCAAAACAATTCAAATTTACTAATGACAGTGATAGTAACAAAATAAAATAAAGA